AACTTAATTTTAAAACAAATCAGGGAGGGCAGACATCTAGCAGGCTCAGGTTGGTTTCGTGGACCGCAGGCAATCATTGCCTGGCGGCGCGATGATTGCACCGCCAGTAATGATTGCCGCATGATTGTGACAATGATTAATCCATAGAAACTATTTCATTAACCACGTCAACAGTTAACGTTGGCCATTGGATAGTCCGCTATTTCAAGCGAATGGCGCTGATCTCGCCGGACTTAAATGGAGACCACTTGATCTAATTTCATGGTTGATCTAGACCACAAAAAAATGGGATTGCAACTGTTGATCATGAAATTAATGGTCCTGATCTCTCCCCAACGGATGGAAGCGTAACCCAAACCCAAGAAATGTTTTTAACTCATTCTCTCAAACGACTTAATCTAACATAATAAAATTTTAAAAATATATAACACAAGTGATGAGCATTCATGGTGGACAAAGATCTTTTTTTAAAATGCTCTATATGAAATTTTATTTAGCTCTAGGTGTTCTAGTATAGGGTTTGCAATTTTACCTAATATAAATGATGGATTCATAAGATATTGGGCTTGTTGCACTTGCAGATTATCCATGCTCCTATTTGTAGAAAAAAATTGCGGTCTAAAAAGCTCTAGATCAACGGGAATATTCCTTGGAAGGTTTCAAGCCTTGGTTCTCCGGAGATCTCGGCACTGCTGGCCTTGATCGGTGGTGTTTGACTTGTGAGAGGTGGAGGGAGTCTAGGGGAGCTCTCACAAAATATATCTCGAGCTTAGGGGGCTTAAAGAGAGAGCAAGAAAAATTCCTTTCCATGAAGCCCTAAAATTTATATTTATAGACTTAATTAGAAGATAATTGAGCTTCTTTGGCCGTGGCTTGGGACAAGGGATTGTTAGGAAGGTTTTAAATGTATTAAAAGGGTTGAATTTGACCTAAATAGGTAAATTTTGACCATATGGTTCTTGGGTTGACTAAGTTAAGTGTTGACCTAGTCAACATGGTCAAACAAGTCCAAGTAGGTAAGGGTTGAGCCAAAGAATGATTGAAATTGATTAGGATTAAATTTTTGGGCCATTTAGGCTAGTTGGGTCAACCTATATTGGCCGAGTCAACCAGGTTGATCCTGAGCCTGGGTCTGACTCAACAGACTTGGTTTGACCCATTGAACTCAAGGGAAGTGTTCTTCGGGTCTTACTTGGTCAATTTGACCAAGTCAACCCCCCTTGACCCAAGTTTGGGTGAAAATAAGGTCAATAAAATAAACCCCTAACTAGGGTGGTAAACAGCTAGTGAACCATACGTGTTAGTGTTGATCGAATGTGATAAGC